GGAGGAGGAGGGGACGGTGCGGGGAGAGAGAGAGAGAGAGAGAAAACCTTGGTGGGACGGAAGACTTAAAAAAAACAAAACCATTGGCTTTGATGGTTTTAGTCTAAAACTTTTAGACAAGTGACGTGAAAGAGGTGCATGGTTTTAACTTTTAATAATGAAGGCCATCCATTTATATTTTTAAAAGTTTAGGATATATTATATATATATATATATATATATAAATGTTATATAAATTATAAATTATTTAGATAATATTTTGTTTTTTTTAACTAAGCAAGCAGATTATATTTGAACCCTTCCTTTGTCAACCACGTACCTGGGCCTTATCCAACTCGTTACAGATGTGTTTGTGATTACATATTCAGCCTTATATGGTCATTAAGATGTCTGCAAGGTTTGCAAGCTAATATTTATTATCTAGGATAAATTTCTATATTTTAAAAAACACCAAGGTGAAAATTTTGAACCTCATAGGAACTCTATGTGGTACTAAGTCACTCATGTATCTTTCCATGCAATGTATAAAGTGTAAAATATTGTACTAATTCATTATATATAAATGATTATGGTGTATTTAAACTTCTTTCATTAATTACTACATATTTTCTATACTCACAATGTTTGCCAGCTCGCTATATAATCAACTTGATAATGTTAAATCCATCATGCAATGCATTTCCTTCCAATTTTTTGTGATAAATTAATAGATAATTGACTAAATAAATATCCTGCAAAGTTTCAATAAAAATTTCCAAGTTTTTCTTACAATTTCCGTGGTTTCCATGTAATTTTTATCGATATCGATATTATCCCGATATTTCCATCGATATTTCCGTGTTTTCGTACTACCGATATTTCCGATATTACCGATATTTAAATCCTTGGTTTCAACATAATACCGCAATTTATAGCATGCAACATCTCAAAGAACAACCAAAGAAGCACAATATTATTCTCTAGCCACATTGGTCAACGAATCTGATCATAGTAATAACAATCATATTCAACATCATTCCACAATCACTCCAATTAATCAATCCCAAAAATCAAAGATGCACGATATTAACATTTAACTACGTTGCGAATAAACCAAGCAGAACCATAAGCATAGTCTAATCGTGCAAGTGGTGATCACTTATCGTGGATATACCAAGCATGATCACCTATATAATACGTATGGTCCCCCATCGCGGATATACCAAGCAGAACCATTCATGTACCACTGCTACATGGTGCAGTAAGTTCAACACACAATCTACCCCTACCTCAACCCCTATGATTACAACGTAGGCACCTGCACTATCAACTTCTCATGACCACTAACTAACATGTCACACAAGCATATAAGTTCTACATAATACTTCTAATAGAATTTTAGGCTTACATTGTCATAACAGTTATCATACATATAATTCATATTATCAAGAAGATAAATACACATATATCTCACAATAAGGCGTCCCATACACGTAAATCGAGGTATATATATTATCTAGAATAACTCACTAACTAATATAGGCCCACTAAGCCCTACCTAGTCTCTAGTAATACTAATTTTAGTATTTAAGAATAATTAAGAACATTTTGATCAAAATTAACCCTAGTAAATCAATCAGGAAGATTCACCCATCAGATTTCCAATCCATAAGTTAATAAGGTCTTTAAATAATACGTACAAATCCAATTTGGTGACGATCTAACGGTCGGTTCATCATTTACTACAAAGGTCCAAGGGCGACAATCTACGAAACTAGGCTCAATCAACGAAATCACATCAAACAACTGTCAAAATTGGATTCAGAATATTAAATTTAGCCTAGAAAGACAAAGTTGGCCCACTGGCCACATGCCGCCACACACGCCGTTGCATGAGGTGGTTTCCAGCGAACGGAAACCTAGTTTTCCAACCGACTCCAAAAATCACCAAATTTCATGGGATTGCGAAAAATAACAAGAGGAAGAATTTTCATACTTGTGACGAAGTTCAATTCCGTCGGGAATTACCTGAAATCCGCAAGAGGCAATCGGAAACCTTAGGATTAGTGCCCTTCGAATCATCGTCCATTTAAACTCCAACGCCTCACTCGATGCTTAGGACTTATTCCTAGGTCCAAAGGGAGTTGAACGACGGTGGTGGCCATCGATGGTGATTGCAAAAACGGCGGATCGTAGCCAAGAGACTTACTAAACCCACAGGTTCATTCTCTGTGAAACTGGGCTTAAACCTAGTTGGGTTTAGGTGGAAAGTGGAGAAGAAGTGACGAAATTTTCAAAGAAATTGTGCAGGAAAAATCAAGTCTGTAGTCGGGTTAGGAACTGGGTTGTGTTAGGGTCCAAGTTGGCTGCTTCCTCTCCTCCATCCTTTCCCCTTTTTTGATTGGCCAATTTCTCCCCCTCATTTTCTTCATTTCTCTTCTCTTCTTCCCATCTGAATCGTACTCATGGCACCCAGATTGATGCTCCAACAAATCCGCAGCATTCCATATTAGTGATTAATTACAATTTTACCCCTGCATTTAACGGTTATTTTCATTTGTTAAAACTTTGTTTCACGAACAGTTTTCGCCTATGCACTCACGAGGTCGAGCTCTATCCAAATATGTAAACAAAAGTGACAAAAAAAATATAAGAATTAAATACGTCCTTGAAAGTCCGTTTAGTTCATTAAGGGTGTTTTCGTCCTTTTACTTATCGAAAAAAACTATACGCCGTAATTATAAATGCATCGAAACTAAGAATATGAAATACGTAATTTTAAATACTTAAATTTGGGGACGGGATTTCACATTTTGGAAGGAACTGTTTAGATTGCAAAACTCAAAGTTATGCATGATCTCAGGGTATCGCCCATAAAGTGATGGCCAAACTAAGGTGATGAACATATGCTTGGAAACCTATCTCAGATGCTTTGTGGGAGGTCAACCAAAGAAGTGGGTTCAATGGCTCTCTTAGGTTGAATGGTGCTTCAATACTTTTTATCACACCCACTATTCTAAAAATCCCCACCTAGCGTCGTCTAGGCGGCTGACCACCATCCCGATTAATGCCTAAGCGTTTGAAAATTAAGAAAATGCGCTTAGACCTGTTGAGGCACCCACCTAGCCCACCCAGACCCTCCTTGTCACATGCCTAAGTTACGACTCACTTAGATAGAAAACAGATAACTTTCATTTTGCATTATATGTTTTTCAATAAATTGTAAGAGACTTGTTAAATACTTAAATGAACACACATTATATGCTTGTTCTCCATATTTTCATTATGTTCCAATACTTCATAATATATGTGTCATTCTATTTTGTAGTTTATGATGAAATTATATATATTTTTAGAACTTTTCCTCCAAATACACTCCATTTGAGCTAGTCTATGGATACCCTCCACCCCATGGCATCCCTTATTAGATGGGCACTACAAGAGTTAATATTGTGGAGCAAAGGTTCCTTGAACGAGATAGGGTCTTATCGGTGTTGAAACCTAACTTGGAGATGGCTCATAATATGATGAAACAGTACAGTGACAAGAAGAGGACAGAGAGACATTTCACAATTGGTGATTTTGTTTACTTGAAGCAAATACCATACCAGTTGCAGACCTTGGCACCTAACAATTACCACAAGCTACAACCTAGGTATTATGGGCCCTATGAGGTACTTGAGAAGAGTAGTGATGCGGCTTACAAGCTTAAACTACCATTGGGGACTAAGATACATCCAGCGATTCATGTGAGCTGCCTTAAGAAACAATTGGGAGATCACACCAATGCTCAAACTATTTTGCCTCAGGTTATGGAAGATGGCTTGGCTCAAAACAGTCCTAAAGTTGTGATAGCTAGGAGAATTTACAAGAAGGGAAACTCTCTAGGTGTGCAAATTCTAGTGCAATGGCAGTATCAAGAGGAGGATAATGTTACTTAGGAGGACTTCGATGTATTCCAGGCCAAGTTTCTTGATTTTTCTCTATGAACCTTGTGGACAAGGTTTTCTTAAGGAATGAGTGTTGTTATGAATTGCATATCTGTGATTACTTAAATCACAAGGATAGTAATTAGCTATAGTTAAAGGGTTAAATTGTAAGTGAATTGGGGACTGAATTGTAATGATCTGGGATCTTTGAGTTCAATTGTAATAGGCCAAGTGTTGTAGGAAGTTATTTCAATAAGTCTGTTGAAGTTGTACTGGCAATCACACACTAGATTGCTAGCTAATGGTATATCTCTCACCACACTCATTGTAACGGTTAGATTTGAACTAATAGAAAGAATATTCCAATTCCAACTTCTTCTTCTTTATTGCATTGTCGCCATAGTTGCTCAGTTTAGGTCGATTTCCAGCTAAGGATTGTGATTCTAACAACTCGAACTTCAAAAACTCCAAGAACTAATCTTTTGTGGAGAGAGAGAGAGAGAGAGTGATGAGAGAGAAACTTTCCGACAGGTTGGTGAATTGTTGGAGGTAAAAATTGAGAATTCGAGATAGAGGAAGATAGAGAGTACGGATATAAAGAGGGAGGAGAGGCAGAGGTTTTTAGAGATTGACGGATAAAAATATGGAGGAGATGGAGAGGTTTCTAGTAGAGTCAGCCTAAGCATTTGGGATCTAGGTAGGCATTCGAAGTGAAGTCCTAGAGCTTTTTGAACCTTGATTCTTTGTACATTGATATGTAAAAAGAAAATTCGCTAAATACATGAAAATGTCTATTTTTAACATCAAACATTATTAAAAGTAATGGTGCAAAAAGATATACAAATATTACATGTTTTGCGTTTTTAGATGCAAATGTACACTTCAGTTTACACAATTTTATTTTGTTGATATTTTTATTAAGTTTAAATTGTATATATAAATTTTTAAATTTTGTTGCCTCCGAAGTGAGGGCCCTAGGCGGCGCTTACCTTGACTATCCTCTCCTCGGGTCGGCCTTAGTTTTAAGAACTTGACTAAGAAAAAGGTAGAACAATATAAAATAATTTGTTACTTACAGAAAAATAATTTTTAATATCAATTGGTCGGTCAATGCATATTTTTCTAAGAATCTGCACGGTAAGTAAACGCTCATTTTGATAGTTGCAAGTATAAATTCTCACACAAAAACTTGTTTGGATGGAAGGAAAATCAGTCACTGGAGAATAAAAAAAAAGAAGCAAAAAATGGAAAAATGATTATACAGGTACAACAAACATACTCCGTCTCACTCTGCTCCTCCTCCGCCTATAACTCCGCCAACCGCCGCCGTTGCTGCCTAATTGGAGTGAGAGTGAGCGACGGAGTCGAAAGAGGAGCAACGATGTCGTATGCTAATTGGCTCCTCTTCCCCAGATTTCCATCATTGTCCACCGTGTCCACCACCTGCAGAAGCAGCAGCAATTGGATGATGAGGAGGAGAGAGAGCAGCAACGACGTCGAATCATCATCTTCTTCTTCGAGATCTTCTGGGCGCTGTGCAGCCGCCTCGGGTTCTGCACCGCCGCCGCCAGTTCCGCCAGATACAGAAAAGGTCCCTTATCTCTCTCTCTACGTTTTCTGTTTGATTTGATTATCTTTCTTCTTATTCCTCATGGGCTGGTCGCATTACTGCAGCAGAGGGAGGTGCCTGAACTGCAGACGCTTCTCCGAAGATTCTGGAAGGTGGCGGCTCCCTATTGGTCCTCCTCCGACAAGGTGCAAGCGAGGATCCAGCTCGCCGTAGTCTTCGCTCTCACTCTCGCCACCACCGGCATCAGCGTCGGCTTCAGTTTCCTCGGCCGCGACTTCTATAACGCCCTTGCCAGTCTCTCTCTCTCTCTAATTTGTTAATCTTATTGGTGATCAATTAAGTTAATTTATATTACTGAAATTTGTTCCTTTTTGCTTCCGAAATTGGATTTTGATGATAATTTGAAGACAAGAACCAAGAACAATTCACGAAGCAGCTGCTTTACTACTTGGGTGCATTTGCTGTCGGAATTCCGGTGAGCACCAATTGTTGCACTTTCACTCAGTTACCCACCCCTCAGCTTAGTTTTTTGGGAAAGTGCTAAAATGATCGATTTATGACTCTTTTGGATGTGCTTTTAAAATGACTGATCGTACTTTTAGATAAATATTTTTGGGTTTCAAAAGTATTAAAGTGTTTTCTGCAAGAATCACCAATTATGTGTTTTTTCAGGAAACACTTTAAATGTTTTTTTATGATTTATTTGCATCTTTACTAAAGAATGATTTTAAAAAAAAATCACAAAAAACGCTTTTAGTCATTTTAAAAGCACATTCAAATGAACTATTGCTTAATTTTAAGACGGAAAGAAGACAAATTAAATATGCACAGAGTATGCATAGCACATATTAGCACCAAAGGAAGGTTACAAATATTTTGTCATATTTGTGAATGATTACACTGTGTCGCTTTTCTTTATCTCATGAAGTTTAAAAGTGAGGTGTCAACTATCTTTCAAGACTTTCATAGATTGAATTTTTCTAACACTTGAAATAACCAAATTGCCTTCTTATCTCACCTCATATTTCTACATAAATATTCCTAGAGAAGGACCCACATATATTTACGTGGCTTTGAAGACGGTCTCTGGCATTATGAAATGGTTATGCAGGATCCTCCTTGAATTACTAGTTTAGCCATAAAATGGTTTCGTGGGAGTCGGTGGCTGAGTTCTTTTTGGGTGGCAAAGAAATCCGGGAAGAGGATCCCCTTCGGATTCTCTTTGTGGGGATCCTAGGGATTCTCGAATCCAGTGCGTCCATCGTTCATCGTGCGGTCAGAAATTATTTTAAATAATTGTATTTAAAATTAAACATGAACAGTACTTGATAAAAATTGACCGTACGATGAACAATGGATACACCGGTTTCGAGGATCGCCAGGATCCCCACCTAATGCATCCGAAGGGGATCCTCTTCCAGAAATCCGAAGTGACGTGGTGGTGGGTGGTAATTGTCGTTGTCGCTTCTCGGCGGCTGAGTTTATTTTTCACTCACACTCTCTCTCTCCCTAAAGTTTGAGAATAAGCATAGAGAGAAGACAAATCTTTGACCTGAATCTAAAAATCATCTTTTTCAGTGACATGTAGATCTGAGTCAACCTAAAATCCAGAGTTCACAACTTTCTCTTCGAAATAAAAAAAAATTGACGTAATCACTTGTGAATTTTTACAATTTATATGTCGGTATTTTCGTCATTTCACTTTTTTCCTGGTGTGCATGGTTTGTGCATTGACGGTTTTTCCTATTTTAGTCCTATGATTAAGAAAATGGGTCAATTTTTGCTATTTCCCTTCTTCCCTTTTCCCGGGTCTTCGCCTTCGCCTTCATCCTTGTGTAATCACCCGAAAGGAAAATACAAAAAGGCAGTTGCTAAGATTTTGTCAAAAAAGAAGACCACAAAAGAACAATGAATGGTGAAACTATTGCCAGAGGTTTATGCCAGTGAATTGCAACCCACAATGGAAAAAGCTTAAAAGTTGCTAGGTTAGCTTTTCGGGTATTCTGTTCACAAGTTTCCACTTCTTTGCATTTTGATCATCGCCAATGGGTTCATATTCGTATGGTTGTTGTTTATTCGTTTGCCTATGCAATTATGTGGACATGGGAACAATGACCTGGTCTTACTGACATTGATATATTTGTTTCCTGTGTTGACAACTTTTTGTGCAGATTTTTGTGTTGCGATTATGCAAGACAAACTCTTTCGTTGAGGTGGAGAGCTTGGATGACAAAACATTACATGGACCGTTACCTAAGCAACCAAGCCTTTTATAAAATTCAATCCCAATCAATCATTGATAATCCAGATCAGCGCATTGTTGATGATCTAAGTTCGTTCACAGAAACTGCCCTATCCTTCTCCTTAACAATTCTCAATGCTGTGGTAGATCTCATCTCGTTCAGTAATATCTTATTCAGTATCTATCCTCCGCTGTTTGCTGTTCTATTTGTATATTCAATTGGTGGAACAGCTATAAGTATCTATCTTGGAAAGGTAACTTTACCTCCGTTTAACCAAAAAGTCTTTCCCATGCTGTATGCAATTGGAACTCAGTTTAATGAAAACATTGTATCCGTTTTTTCAGGATTTGGTTTCTTTAAACTTCATGCAAGAGAAAAAGGAAGCTGATTTTCGTTATGGACTTGTGCGCGTCAGAGAAAATGCTGAATCCATTGCTTTCTATAGTGGTGAAGCAAACGAAATGCAACTTTTGCTACAACGCTTCACAAGTGCTTTCAAAAATATGAGTGTATGAATAAATATATCGTCTTCTGTTTTCACTTCTCTACATGCAGTCATTAGCCTTTACACTGAAGACTCCTTTTTCTCTCACAAATTTAATTTTACGCAATATTGTTGTGTGTGTAGTGTACTCACTTTAAACAACATGATCTACTTTAAATACACTTGGATTGAGTTATGGCAGATGTGCTGGTGTCATTGGATCGATTAGTGATGCTACTGATAACGCTATAAGTAACTTCAACATCCACTAAAAAATTCTGTTTTTTTAAATGTAATTTAATTTGTAAGAAATATGACGATGCCAAACATGTAAGGGCTCTCATGATCCTTATTCAAGAGGCAAGAAAGATGACGATGCCAAACATGTGTTACTTAACATCAATAATTTAATTTGTAAGCATACGTGTGATTTCTTTATGTTATATACATGTATCTAATCTGATAAGTATCATGTTCCAGTTTTCAAAATTGAGATATTTTGACTTCAGTGCCTAGGTTTTGATCTCTGTTGATGTCACTGTGATATCTGTGGCTCATTTAAGAGACTGAGCTGCATCATTAGCCTAAGAACTACACAGTTATGCTTAGGACTTGCTGTTATTTTTAATTTACTTTTGGTACACATGCCTGCGAGGTTTGATCTAGAGCATGATCTGTTTACATTTAATATATTTACTGATTTAAAATTACCATGCATGTAGATTGTTATGCCATGCACATCCAATTGATTGTGTTTTAACTCATATTCCAACCTTGCAGAAATTGTTGATATGTTCAAGAAATCTCGAGGTTTTCACCAGTGGATACAGCTATCTTATTCATATTCTTCCCGCTGCTGTTGTTGCCCCTATGTATTTCTCAGGCAAAATTGAGATGGGTGTCATTGATCAGTCAACATCTGCTTTCAGTCATATTCTTGGAGACTTCTCCCTTATTGTCTACAGAATGGAGACTATCAGTGCATTTGCAGCTGTAATTGATCGACTTGGTATTGTCTCTGTATCTTTATCTATATATCTGCTATAACGAGGATCTGTTGCATAACTTTGACTTGACCAGATAGAACTTCATAAGGAAGCTGTCTAATTTGCGCGATAGAACGGGGTCTTAAAATTGAACGAATATGGATTAGAGTCTCACTAGAAAGACATTGACAAAATAATGACACGTATTCTTATCCATATTTTAATTTCTATTCATGGTTTTGCCTTCCTAGATTCAGACAGATAGTTACAGACATCATTTGCCCACATTGTATAACTTTTTGTACAATGTCATTTGAATCCATCTTCAATAATATTTGTTATGACTAGGGATGCAAAACTACTAGAATGTGACCAAAATTTCAACTCAACTTTTCTACTCTTCACCATAGCTTTTATGTTGCACTTAGCACTTTTTTAAAACAAATCTTTTATCCTTGAAGTTTTGAGGTTAACTCTTCAAGTTAATTAGATTTATTCAATCGTTTACAAATTCATAAAAATATGTACCATGTCATTCTGTCTGACCCTGTTAATAAATTTACTTATGATGTCCAATATGGCAATGCTTTCTCTTCTGGCTCCGCACAACGAGATCTTTAATGGTGTAGATGTGTTTTGACTTTAAATACTTATTTGCCTAGTGATATCTGAAACATACAGGTGAATTTGATGATCTATTGGATAGCAGCAACTCAGAACGTCATTCTGACCCCTCAGAAGGGATAAGTTTGATACATAGTAACGTCAAAAGCTTACCAGAACTGGAGTCAAATGGATCCATTCCCATAGAAAAGCAACAAAAGTTAGTGGATATAGAGCACTTGACCGTGGAGACTCCAAGTGGTACTGCATTGGTTAGGAATTTATCATTGGTAATCAACAAGAATGAGCATTTATTGGTAAGTAACTCCACTGTTCTACTGAATTTATCGTTAGTTAATATATCTTTTCGGGGAGCTGAAGACCATTTCCCGTACATGACCAATTGAACAGGTAACAGGACCAAGTGGGAGTGGTAAAACATCTTTGTTAAGAGCTATGGCTGGTCTTTTTAGTACTGGAAAAGGAAAAATCATTTTCCATGTGAACTACCGAGAAGACAACCAACCATCCATTTCTTCTGATGTAGTAGATCCTGAGGTAGATACTGTTAGTGATAAATATGGGGAACTTCGGAGGCCCTCGAATAGGAATTATAAAGGCATATTTTTCCTTCCTCAAAGACCATATATGGTATTGGGAACACTTCGCCAACAGTTGCTTTATCCTATATGGGCTGAGGATGCAATTTCCACAGCGGACGGTACTAAACCAACTGGTATGTACTTCAACTCCTTTTGCCACATGGTACTCTGCTGACTGCTGAGGAAGCTATAATCAACTGTGACAATTGTTTTGTAATACTTGCAGGGTCACTTCCTTTCTTGACGCAGGAACCAAATTCGAAACATATGAGTGAAAAGCCTAGTAAGCCCACAACGGAGGACCTGATACAGGTTTTGGAGGATGTCCGACTTGGCTATATATTATCCCGATTCAGCAGTTTGGATACTTCATATGAATGGTCTAGTGCTCTCTCCCTTGGAGAGCAGCAACGCCTTGCATTTGCTCGTTTACTGCTTTCGAAACCACGATTGGTTCTACTGGATGAATCTACCAGTGCTTTAGATGAAGCCAATGAGGTATTACCACGCTCTTTCCTCAGACTTTCAAGATTCATTTGTTCTTCCTCGTCCTTCCCACATGTATTGGACTTATCAGGTCCAGAGCATCTTCAGGAATTGCCCCTAACGCATTTAGTCAAATTTCGCGCTACGCACACGAACACCTGGAATGAATAATCTAGTCTATAAACTGTTAACACGCATAAGCTAATGAACATGTTCCAAGTCTTTTTTAAGTGTTGGTTATGTACCACTCATTCGATATCATATGCACTTGATGCCCACCTGCTTCAATTTTTTTCCCATTGTTGAATCACGATGAAGAGAACATGATATAAGTTGTAATGATGATCTCCCGGTTCTGCTGCTATTGGCAGGTTCATATATATCAGCAGATTGAAAAGGCAGGCATAACATATATAAGCGTCGGTCACCGGCAAACTCTATACGACTTCCACAAGAAGAACTTACGGATCTCCACCGCGGAACCCAGTAGCGCCGAACCCAATTGGAGCATTGAATCCATCAATCGAGAAACATTATACAACTTATGAAACGTATAATTGCAGCTGCCTTTTCTTACATTAGGTCACTTGTTTGTTCTGTTTCTCTGGTGTGTTGCAAGTGTTTTTGGGTCCTTTGTATCATAAGTAGTTTCTGCAAAACTTTCTACGGTTTATATTATAAAACTTAGAACACTTAAGGTTTTCAGCTGAATTTGCCTATCCATATAATGATGGATTACAAATTACAGAAGGGTTTTGAAAAAACCCCATTTACACGCACTGTTTGAATTTCAAATGATACAAAGCTATCAGACTTAGCTAAGAAACATTCAAAAGAAACCTAGACCTAACAGACTTGTCTTTGGATAACAGTTGAACTTTAGAATATCCAACTGAAGAGTTGGAACTAGAGTTGGATGCTTGATAAGTCTGACTTGGAATAACATCCCCCCGCAAGCTGACTGGTCGAGCAACCACAGGAAGCTTGGACACTAAGAACTTGAAACGTGATGAAGACAGACCCCTTGTGAATAGGTCAGCAATCTGATCTTGGGAACAAATAAAATTTACCAAAAGCTCTCCACGGACCACTTTCTCCCTGACATAGTGATAATCCACTACTAAATGTTTCGTGCGCGAGTAGAACACCGGGTTAGAAGCTAAGGCTATGGAGGAAACATTATCACACCATATTTGAGGCCTGAGAAGATTTAAATGCAGGTCTCTGAACAATGAGCGTAACCAAGATAACTCAGCGACAGTGTATGCAAGCTGCCTAGACTCGGCTTCTATACTAGACCTAGAGACAGTTTTCTGTTTCTTCGAAGACCATGACACTAAATTTGGTCCCAAATAAACACAAAACCACTAGTGGAGCCGCGTGTATCTAGGTTGCCCACATAATCTCTGCATCTAAAAAAGCACGTAGTTGTACACCACCAGGTTTGTATACAAGACCATGATCATACTGTTTGAAATGGTACCAGGCATGTTGTTTGAGGTTGATAAAGATTGAAACTTTGAATAAAGGTTTGAAGAAATTTGTGTTTTTTCAAGAGAGAAAAGGGAGAGCAAGAGTCTGTGTGTATTTTTCATATATCTCAACAAAAGCAAATTACAAGGACTATATTTATCACTGCTGGTCTAAAAACAGATCCTACATATAGGGACCTAGTACTCCTCTCCGACCATTAATGGTTATCGGAGGATATCATCCATCCACTTGGAAGAAGATGAGAATGCTCAGTACAATTAAAAAGATAAGAACACCAGCTGTAATCTTTCTAAAACTAGAAAAAGAAACTAGCCGTTGCATTTAATGGCTCCTTCTAATTTTAGTAAGGTCTTCATTTCTTCACACTTCTCAGCTTCCTTTCGATTTCATCTGCAGGTTAACTCTAAAGCTAGGAGGCAGCTTAATTCTCAACAGCCTCTCCTAAGCTGCTTACTGGCTTCAGTCCTAACTTCATCCTCAAGTAATTGAATCGATCTTTAGGCAAAGCTTTTGTAAATATATTTGTCAACTGTTCTTGACTCCTGCAATATTCCACATCAATGGATCCTTGCTGCAATGCTTCCCAAATAAAATGATATTTCCTGTTTATATGTCTGGTTCTCTGATGAAAGACTGGATTTTTGACCATCGATATTGCTGACATGTTGTCACAAAACAATGGTGTTGCTTCAGTTTGCATTTCACTAAAATCATCCAACACAAATCTTAGCCAGATAGCTTGAGCTGTTGCCTCAGTTGCTGAGACATACTCTGCTTCTGCAGTTGACAATGCAACTATGTTTTGCTTGACTGAGGCCCATGAAAATGTACCATTACCAAAGCTGAATGCATACCCATATGTGCTCCTACTATCATATTCACTGCCAGCCCAATCTGAGTCACAAAATCCAATCAAAACAACATCCTTGTCCTTTGTAAATTCAATGCCATAGCTGAGAGTACCTTGAATGTATCTAAGAACTCTTTTAGCTATTCCCATGTGCTTCTTCGTGGGACCATGCATGAATCTTGATAGCAAACTGGCAGCATACATTATATCAGGCCTGGTTGCAGTTAAATATAATAGACTGCCAACAATTTTCCTAAACAAACCTTCATCAGCCAACTCACTTCCATCAACTTTCTTCAGTTTCTCACCAGTGGGTAGAGGAATTGTCACCGACTTACAATCCTCCAAGCCAAACTTTACGAGTAAAGACTTTGCATACTTGCTTTGATGAATAAAAACCCCTTTATCAGTTTATAGAACTCCCATTCCCAAGAAATGATGTAAGAGTCCTAAATCAGTCATCTTATATTTCTGCATCATGTCTCTTTTAAACTCATTGAGCAATGTATTGCTGCTTCCAGTGTACACTATATCATCAACATATATAGAGACTATGATCAGATTTCCTTCTTCATCAGTTCTGGTATATAAGGTAGCCTCACTAGTGCTCCTTTTGAAATTGCAACTAGTGAGATAAGTGTCAATCTCACTGTACCAGGCTCTCGGAGCCTGCTTCAAACCATAGAGAGCCTTCTTTAACTTATAGACCTTGTGACTTGTATTTTCAACTTCAAAACCCTCTGGTTGTTCAGTGTAAACCTCATCCTCAAGTACTCCATTCAAGAAGGCTGACTTAACATCTAATTGGAACAGCTTCCAACCCTTTTGTGCTGCAAGTGCAATCAAGGTTCTAATTGTATCTAACCTTGCCACTGGGGCAAATGTTTCATTATAATCAATACCAGGTTTCTGGGCATACCCTTTTGCCATAAGCTTAGCCTTGTGCTTTTGAACTGTTCCATCCAGATTCAACTTAGTTTTGAACACCCATTTGACTCCTATGACTGGTTTGTCTGCAGGCCTTTCCACCAGCTCCCAAGTTCCATTCTTTTCAATAGTTTCAATCTCAGCTTCCATTGCTTCCTTCCATGCTTTGTCTTCAATAGCATCATGATAGGTTTCAGGTTCAATAATGGTCATATGACATCTTGCATAGATGTCTTCCAAGCTTCTCAGCTTTACTGGTGTATTGCTTGGTGTTGAACATTGACTGGTATTGGCAATGTTGTTTCCAGGGACATATTCATCATCTGAGACTAATTGAGTGAGATTTGGAGAGTCAATGCTGTGAGTTTCATGAGGGGATTCTTCAGTTTCAATTATCTCAAAATTTTCATTTCCAATGGTGAGAGGCATGTAAACTGTTTCATCTTGCTTGCTTTCGCAATTCCAGGACTTGTTCTCATCGAATACAACACTTCTTGAGAGTATGATCTTCTTAGTTTGAAGATTATAGATCTTGTAGCCTTTCTCACAGCTGCAATACCCCATAAAGATTCCCTTGCTTTCTTTGTCATCAAATTTCTGTCTGAGATTTGATGGAATGTGACTGTAAGAGATACTTCCAAACACTCTCAGATGTTTTACATCTGGTTTTCTCCCTGTGAAAGCTTCAAATGGTGTTTTGTCTGAGACTGCAGTAGTATAACACCTATTTTGCAGATACACTGCAATGCCAACTGCTTCAGCCCAAAACTTGACAGGAATTTTCTTCTCAGACATCATTGATCTTGCCATTTCTCCAATGGTTCTATTTCTTCTCTCAGCAACCTCATTTTGCTGAGGTGAGTAGGCAATAGTCAGCTGCCTCTCCATGCCAAGATCACTGCAATACTCAAGGAATTCATGTGAAGTGTATTCTCCACCTCTGTCACTACTTAGTTTCTTCAATTTGAATCCACTTTGAAGTTCAACAAATGCTTTGAATTTTTTGAACACATTTATCACATCTGATTTGTTTTTGAGGAAATATACCCAACACATCCTTGAGTAATCATCAATGAATGTGATGAAGTATTTGTTCCCTCCAATGGACTCATTTTGCATTGGACCACATACATCTGTGTGCACCAATTCAAGTGGATTGTTTGCTCTCCAAGGTTTCTCATTCTCAAATGGTTCTCAGTGACTTTTACCATACACACAGCTTTCACATACTCCTTCTTTTTCTGAGAAATCAGGTAAACCCAACACCATTTGTGTTTGCTGCATTTTCTTCATGCTAGTAAAATTCAAATGACCCAATCTTCTATGCCAAACCCATGGATCTTCTTGTATTGCTGCTTTCCTTGCCACTGAGTTGACAGATTCCATGGACAATGGAAAACATCTATTTCCAGTCATTGCAACTTTAGCAACAACATTATCAAGACTACTATCATCACATATTAATGCACAGTTTCCTCCAAATAGAATGTAGTACCCATGCTGCATCATTTGCCCTATGTTCAGTAGGTTTTCATCTAATCCAGGAACTAGCAGCACTTCATTTATGTATATTCTCCTTTTTCGTGTCTCAACTACAAGTGTCCATTTTCCTGTAGCTTGAACAAGGTCTCCAGTGCCCATTTTTACTTTGCAGGTCACTGACTTATCAAGATTGATCAATAAGGACTCTTGAGAGGTCATGTGATTGCTACATGCGCTGTCCACAAACCACACAGACTTGCTTGATGCAATTGAACTTGCATGACAAGCATAGAACATTGTTCCTGTGACTGCATCTTCTTCCTTTGCACAATTTGCAACCTGTTTACCATTGTCACAGTCCTTAGATAAGTGACCAAATCGACTGCATCTTCCACACTTGGGTTTTCCTTTATATCTGCATATACCAAAATGGTATTTGTCACATACTTGACATAGCAGTTTCACATTTCCTTGGCTGCCACTTGGTTGTTTGTTGTGTGCAGTAAATTTGTTGTTCCAGCCACTACCACTGCCATTATTCCAGTTGTTACCACTGCCATTGTTCCAGTTGTTTTGAGACCAATTCTTACCCTTCTTATACTGACCCCATTTTGGGTTTGTCCTATACTGAGACCCTTTGACACTTCCAGTGCCATTTCCATTTCCTCCAACTTTAAGGCTGCTGAAAGCCCTCTCAGTACCTGTGTATTTCTCTCTTTCATCATGCAAGTCTTCTCTTTTATCATAGACTTTCACTGAAGCTAAGACTTCCTCAACTCTAATAGTGTCTAGATCTCTGGTTTCTTCAATGATTGACACTATGGACTTATATCTCCTACTTAGACTCATCAACAACTTTTGAACAATTCTTTTCTCTGTTACATCTTCTCCTAGAGATTTCAAGTTGTTTATTATCTCAAAGAACCGAGCCAGGTAGTCATCTAGAGATTCAACATCACTCATCCTTAGATATTCAAAATCAGCTCTAATGGCTTGTAATTTCACAGCTCTTACCTTTTTATCTCATCTGAACTCTCTTCTCAGGATTTCCCAGGCACCCTTTGCAGTCTTCTCATTTCGGATTCTGGGAAAAAGTTCATCAGTGATTGCTCCTTGAATGAGGCTTAGAGCCTTGGCATTCTTGATCTTTTCCTCCTTTGAAACAACTGGTCTTTCAACTGGAATGTGCTCTGACTCGTTTTCTCCTTCTTCCTCAGAGATTTCCTCTGTGGAAGTTTGTTGTCCAGCAAGACCAGCTTCAACCACATCCCATAAATCGTAGGTTATGAGAATGGTTTCCATTTTTACGGCCCAAAAATCGTTTGATCCATTAAATTGTGGTGTTCGTAAATCACCACCAGATGAGCTTGATCCAGCCATCTTCTTAGGCAGCACCGCTCAAATGGTTATAAAGGTACCACCTTTAAGGTTTTTTTTTTCGGAGATGGATCTTTCTCACAATATCACGCCATTTCTTCGGAATCAGACCTAGAGCTCTGATACCATGTTTGAAATGGTACCAGGCATGTTGTTTGAGGTTGATAAAGATTGAAACTTTGAATAAAGGTTTGAAGAAATTTGTGTTTTTTCAAGAGAGAAAATGGAGAGCAAGAGTCTGTGTGTATTTTTCATATATCTCAACAAAAGCAAATTACAAGGACTATATTTATCATCGCTGGTCTAAAAACAGATCCTACATATAGGGACCTAGTACTCCTCTCCGGCCATTAATGGTTATCGGAGGATATCATCCATCCACTTGGAAGAAGATGAGAATGCTCAGTACAATTAAAAAGATAAGAACACCAGCTGTAATCTTTCTAAAACTAGAAAAAGAAACTAGCCGTTGCATTTAATGGCTCCTTCTAATTTTAGTAAGGTCTTCATTTCTTCACACTTCTCAGCTTCCTTTCGATTTCATCTGCAGGTTTACCTTCTGCAGGTTAACTCTAAAGCTAGGAAGCAGCTTAATTCTCAACACATACGTGGCCTTCAAGTAACGCAATATACGTTTAACTGCCATCCAATGGGTATCCTTGGGTGAATGCATAAATTGGCATACCTGGTTAATAGCGTAAGAAAGATCAGGCATTGTGATAGTTAAATATTGTAAAGCACCGAAGACGCTTTGATACTGTTCTTCATCCTTGTAGGCAATGGTGGACCCATAGAGGGACCTGGGAGGTCCAAGGACCCATCGGCAACCCTGAATCGTTGCTTGAAATTTTCCAGAGACCCCTCGCACTCAAGAAGGAAAGCATGTGTGTGTAAGCTGCAACGGCTGATCGGCGGCGTCTTTGGAGAAGATTTCGTGAAGAAGTTTTCTTTTTTTAAGGCTTGGCCCAAAACGCTAGTTTGGCCAACTATTTTTTATTTTTTTAATTAAAACAATATACAAAACGCAGTCATTAGTGTATATTTTGTTTTAAATTCCCAGCTAGCACGTCTCCCAAGTCCCACTCTTCCCCATCCCATTGCCCTGATTTTCACATATTCACCCAATCCCCAATTCTCTAATTTTCAAAACCCTCAAATTCTAAATCCTACCTGATCCCATATTTAAACTTTACTCCAATATCATACCTCAATTTGTTTCAAATCTCCACACCAACACCATTTGGTTCAAAATTCATGCTAGTTTTTTGGTATTCTAATCTAATCTCAATTAAATTATATTAGATATTGATGGAGGTTTATAGTCAATTATTTGATATGATTATTTATATGTTTTATGTTTTATGTTTGTATTCTCATGTGATTATTGGATTTTAGATGGAATTTTTGTTTATTGGTTAATTGGTATATGTTTTTGTGTTTTTATTTTTTTTATCAATTATGTAATGTAGAGAGATAAGAAACATGGAAAGATTTTCACCAAAGCCAATAGCATCCTCTATTTGTTCAGATAATTCAAGTTCAAGATAACATGAGTGTTACATTGATTTGAATAATCTTAAAAGAGACCTGAGAATAAAACTTCAATGTTATAATTAAACTTTTCAATGTTATTTTTATCTATTAATTTTTTTACCTTTATTATTGGGATCCTTCAAGTTTAAAATCTTGGATCCACCACTGTTTGTAGGGTTCACCATCATAGACACTGAGTTTATTTCCTACAGGAGCCAAAGTAGCAATAGGCTTGGCATTTGTAAACTTTGTGCGTTCCAACAAATCAAGAGCATACTTTGATTGCATCAGATGCATGTGATCATCAAAATATGTGACTTTAACACCCAAGAAATAACTTAATGGACCCAAGTATTTCATGGAAAATAACGTGCTGATCTTCTTGATTAACCATGACATTTGAGTGTTGTTGTTCCCTGTGAGCAATACGTCATCAACATATATTAACAAGATCAAATAAACTCATCTTTGATTAAAAACAAACAGAGAGTAATCACACATGGACTCTTGGAACCCCAATTGAAGCAAAAAATCAGAAAACCTCTGAAACTAGGCCCTCGGTGCCTGTTTTAATCCATATAAACTTCACTGGAGTTTGCAAACATGATCAAGATACTGTTTATCAATGAAACTCGGTGGTTGTCTCATATATACATCCCCATTGAGATACCCATGCAAAAATGCATTTTGGACGTCCAACTGTCGAACATGCCACTTCTTTGAAATTGCAAGACTTAAAACAAGTCTAATCGTGCTATGCTTGACAACAGGACTAAAGGTCTCCTTGTAATTGATCCCTAGTTTCTTATGAAAAGCATTTGCCACAAACCTCGCCTTATGCCTCTCAATCGAGCCATCTGCACGTTGTTTGATCTTAAACACCCGCTTATTTGGCAATGGGTTCATGCCACTATGATAAGGGATAAGGTTCCAAGTGCCACACCGCTGCAAGGCACTGAATTCTTGGGCCATTGCAGTCCTTCATTCCTTGTGTTTTATTGCCTGGCTAAAACACGTTGGTTCAAAAACTTTCTTATCAATAATAACATGCAAAGCATATTTAGGATTTGACTTTTTTGACCCCAGCTTTGGACCGAGTCATCATTGAGTGTACTGGAGGTGAAAGATGATTTAAAGCATCAACCGTTGTAGATGGTATTGACTGAGATTGGTTCACACTAATTGAAGGCAATAATTCTTGCTCATTTGAGAGAGAAAGCGGTGCACGAAAGCAGGGAATACGATCAGGTTGTATTATAGGTGTGGTGTGACTATTTGTGGTGAAGGACACATGTAATCTAGTGGAAGGCTCATGATTGACTATGGGTGAGGCTAAGGTTTGAGGAGTCGGTGGTGGATGAGTGTTTGAGTTTGGAAAGGTTATGATAAGGTCAGGTATATGTGAGTTACCTGTATCGTGGACGTTTTCCTTGAGAGATGTAAGCTCCTTGAATGAAAAAAAGTCCTCATCGAATAAAACATGGCGAGACAAATAAATTCGTCTCGTGGATAAATCCAAACACTTGTATTTTTGATGATTCAACGAGTATCCTAAGAAGACACGCGACTTAGACTTGGGTCGAAGTTTATTCCGTGAGTATGGTGTCAATCAAGGAAAACATTTAGAGCCAAAAACTTTAAAAGATTCATAACTCGGTTAAACAACTTTTCATACGGGGAGACATTTGACAAAACTCTAGTTGGTAATCTATTTATTATATAAGTGGTTGTCAAAAAAGAATCAAACAAATATTGATCAGGCATGTGAGCATGAGAAAGCAAGACAACACTAGTTTCGACTATATGACGATGTTTTCTTTCCGCAATTCCATTTTGCTCAAGATGTTTGGGGCATGAAAAAAGTTAGGATATTCCCTCAATTGCAAGAAACTGTTTAAAAACATGACTTATATACTCACCGCCCTCATCACATTGAAGAAGATTGATGCATTAAACATTTTTTCAACATGTGCCTTGAATGTAACAAAAATCCCAAACACTTCAGATTTGTTTTTCATGGGAATCATCCACAAATAATAAATAGTAACGAAAACCTTCAATTGACATAACTGGTGAACACCACACATCTGAATGTAACAGTTCCAAAGGAAATTTAGACACATACTCTAACTTGTGAAAAGGAAGTTTTGTACTCTTGCCCAAAGGACAAGAATCACAAAACGTTACATCTGCAGTACCAAGACTTGGTACTTGATTATTGGAAATTAAAAACTTAATAATTGAGGACGTAGGGTGACCAAGACGGGAATGCCATTTTTGGGTCGAGACTCTAACTCATAATTAAGAACGCTGAAATAGGATACTTGGACAATCCACCGCCACCTGGAAATGGGTATAACCCATTCTCACATCTCCCTCAGAAAAGTGTCTTCCGGGTCTTGAGGTCCTTAACAAGAAAAAAAATAAGGGAAGATTAGTAAATAACAATGGTTATCAAGGGTAACCTATGTGCGAATATAATGTTTGTGGAGGCAGATGGGCAATGGAGAATTTGGTTTAGTTCAAATGAGCAATCTTTAGTGTGAATGTGATTAGAACCAGAATGTGAAATGGAAAAGCAAGTATCATTACCTACACCACCAATATTTTCTTTACCATTGTACTCCTTAGGGTTTACCAGATTTTGAATGTCAGGAGTCACATAATCGTTGGCACCTGTGTCAAGCAACCAAGTTCCATTTTGTTGTCGATTCAAAGTGATTGGTGAAGAGGCCATAGCAGTGAGACGTTTTGTTGGCACACGTCCCTCATATGCAGCATTCATTCGTTGATAACTGTCTAGAGCAGGATGTTCAAGCTTGCCGCAAATCTGGCAAGTGATTCTTTCTCCACTTGAAAACCATCACGTCCATTGCCACGGAAACGTCCACCACGTCCACGGGCAGCAACAAAAGCATTAATCAGAGCAGCTTCAACAGCAGGTACAACTCCATCATTCGCCTCTCTATTGTCAGAAGAAGGGCTTTAAGGGTTGGGCACATGATAGGAGTATCACGTGCCTGAGCTGCACTCACAAGCATCTCGAATGCAGG